AAGTAATAAACATTACTGGGAGGCGTGAACTTGATTTGGGGTTTGGGTGGGAAGATTGATTTTGGTGGACAGTCTCCTAAAGTCATTTACTATCTAAGCCAGGGGTCCTCAAACTTTTTAAACAGGGGGCCAGTTCACCGTCCCTCAGACCGTTGGAGGGCATGACTATAGTTTTAAAAAAAAAACTATGAACAAATTCCTATGCACACTGCACATATCTTATTTTGAAGTGAAAAAACAAAATGGGAACAAATACAATATTTGTATTTGCATGTGGCCTGCGGGCTGTAGTTTGAGGACCCCTGCATTGGTCAATAACCATGACCTCATTTACTTAGCTGCTCCTAAAACACGTTCAAGGTTCTTAACATTCTTCTTTGATTCCTATCCCAATTAAAATTCTTCTCTGCCCTAGCCGGTGTGGCTCAGTTGGTTGAGTGTCATCCTGTGCACCTAAAGGTCACCGGTTCAATTCCGGTCAGGGCAAATACCCAGGTGGTGGGCTTGATCCCCGGTCGGGGTGCATGCAGGCGGCCACCAACCAGTGTTTCTCTCTCACACCGATGTCCCTCTCTCCCCCACTTCCTCTCTTTCTCGAATCAATAAAAACATTAAAAATAAGTCCTTCTCTAATTTCACCGATGTTCTGAGAAATTGCCATGGCCCTGGTTACCCCTTTCGTTCTCTCATTGAAATGTCCCTTAGTGCTGCTATTTTAAGATTCTGCTTCAGCCCAAAATACCAGCTGATCAGCTCCTAAGAAAAAATTCCAAAGCAAAGGCAGGCAGGCCTACCTACTTGTAAAAAAGTGGAATTGTACCCACACGTCTCCTGTTCTAAGGAACACTGCTTTGCTTTCCTGGCAGGTAAGAATCTGGCCCCCACTTCCCTCCAAGGGAGTCCTCCAATCTACCTGCACATTTCCCAGAATGCAGCAGCCGCCGCCGAGTCCTCACCTGCAGTTTTCATGTCTGTGGTGGAAAGCGTGGGCACCACCCGCAGGGGCACCGCGGGGCTAGGAGAGCGCGCTGGGGAGCTCGGGAGCCATGAGCTGAGATCTTCAAAAGAAAATGTTTCTTGTAAATCCCACGTGGCTGTGGACTCCAATAGGGAGATTGGGTAAGTGGCCATTTGGGTTCAACAAGGGCAAGCCAACAACAGGGAGGCCAGGGTTCCACCATTCCTTCCTGACCCTTCCCCAGGCGAGCTGGAGCACGGAGGCCATTTAAACGGCTCTTCCGGGAAGAGACTTCACCAGTGATGGGTCGCACTGCAGCAGGCCAACAGCCACTACTACTCTCCTGTGGGGGGAAAAGCAGTTCTCTCAAGGGGCACACGGGGACCGGACAGGCCCACTGCGGAGAGCCCTGCCATGCAGGGGCCCAGCTCACCTAAACCAGTGCCAAGTACCCATCACAGGTAAAAACGATAGGCAGTCATGCCCCCCCTAACAGGAACGCCCGCCCCCCGACAGACAAGGGGATGGCTTCTTTGCTGGGGAGGTAAATGGCTACCGCTGGCTCCAACCACACAAGCTGCTGGAGTAGCTCCAGCACCTCAGCCACTCACCCTCTTCGTCGGACGACAGGGCCGTGTCACCACACTCCTCCTTCACTTCCCTCAGGACCTTCAGGTAGCGCTGCTGGGTGCGCCACTCCCGCTCCTCGGGGGTGCGGGAAGGGGAAGGGCGCTTCTGCCGGAAGGAGAGGGCCGGGCCGCTCCGACGGGCCATTTCCAGGAGGTCCTAGGAAGGCCAGACGGGAGCACGTCAGCGCTGAAGCTTGTTCTGGTACCTTCTCTAAGTCTACATTCTCTGCTCGTCATTGGTCACTAAGTTCCATTCCTTCCCTCCAGGTGACAAAAATGATGTGTATGTGATTATGCCCAATAAAAACAGCCTATTTTGATTATTGCATGGCAAATACTCATTACATTAGAGCAGCGGTCGGCAAACTGCGGCTCGCGAGCCACATGCGGCTCTTTGGCCCCTTGAGTGTGGCCACGAAGTTTCAATCGCACTGTACGTGCGCGCCCACACGTGGTATTTTGTGGAAGAGCCACACTCACGGGGCCGCAGTTTGCCGGCCACCGCACTGGAGACCCAAATGTTTCCAGACTGAAGCTCAAACCACTGAAAGCCAGAACTGTCTCGAAGAATTAGCAGACTGGTCCAGCCCGGGCGCACTGAGGTTGGCGCACTGCATACCCCTCAAGCCTCTCAGAGGCCCGTGTATCCCACCCCTCCCCTAGAGCAGCCTGGTTCCCTGAATGAGCCGTGATGGAGCTGAGAGCCGTTTATTTATCATGGTAAATACTGGAGCTACAATATGTCATCCATTTTAAGAGGTACCTTTCCCCCTTTTTTAACATCTCTGAAATCAGGGTACATCTTAAAGTTGAACATAAGAAAGAATCATATAGCTTAATTATATCATAGCTTAACTGGTAGCATTTTTTTTTCTTTAGTGGGATCTTTCGTATTTTACACCTGAGCCCACTTCTTGAGGTCATGAAACCTGTGCGTTCACTGCCCGTTTTACTTCCAGTTCCCCACATCACTTACACTCCGGGAAGCCAGAATCTGCTTCAGCAGCCGGTGGAAATACTGCTGCTGGGAGTTGAGGTAACGCTTGTACTGTGACTTGAAGCAGAGCTGCCGGTACTTGACCACCTCAGGGTTGAAGTGTCCATCTTAAAGGAACAGAGGTACAGTATATATACGTCAGTCAGCAAATATTTAATGTGTGCTGAAAATGTGATCAACTCTGCTAAACTGGGATATATAGTATTGGGGGCGGGGGAGGAGAAAACCTTTGTGTATGTGGAGCCTTACAGTCCCGTGGGAGAGACAGCAAATAAACAGCTAAACAGATAAGTAACAGTCAACTCTCTCAAGTACTATAAGGAAGTTAACTCCAGAGAACTGAAGGGTAAGGAGAGTTCAATCAGGAAAGGGATCTCTAAGGAATGACGCATAAACTGAAGCCGGATTAAAGCAAACGCAGCAAAATATCAACAACTGATAAATATAGGTGAACGTTATATGCATGTCTGTTATATTATCTTTCAACTTTTCTACATGCTTACAAGTTTTCAAAATGAAAAACTGGGAGGAATATATGCCTGGCTGGTGTGGCTAAGTTGGTTGGGTGTTGTCCCATACACCAAAAGGTTGACGGTTCGACTCCCAGTCAGGACTCATGCCCAGGTTGTGGGTTCAATCCCCAGTAGGGGGCGTACGGAAATGTCTGAAGACTAAAGCGGAGTAGGTGGCAGCTGAGAGCGGCACGAAATGACCTGGGAAGGTGACCCGAGATCAGACCACAGAAGCTTCTAGGTCATGCGTGGATTTTATCCTAAATGCAATGAAGGTTTAAAGCAGAAGAATGACATGGCTGGGAGCAAGAGTGAAAGAAAAACGACTGCAGTGGTCCAGGTGTGAGGATGGTGGCTTGGTCCCACGGTCTCCCTCCACATTCAATAAAAGCCGAGACCCTACAGATGGCCTGTCTCATGCCACCTGTGGCCTCACCTTCAACCAGTCCCCCTTTGGCTCACTCTACCCCACCCCCACTGGCCTCCATGCTGTTTCCTGAACAGGCAACATACCTACTTTCTCAAGGCTCTTGTATCTAAAGCTCACCTGCCTGCAATGCTTCCTATTAACACCAATATTTTCATGGCTTGCTCTTCCTCCCTTCATAAAGTTTCTGTTCACGTGTCACCACGCTGGAGAAGCCTTGCCCAAATCTAAAACAGCTCCTGCCAGCACTCTAGTCCCATTACCCTTTCTTTTATTTTAATATATCTTATTGATTTTTTACAGGGAGGAAGGGAGAGGGATAGAGTTAGAAACATCAATGAGAGAGAAACATCAATCAGCTGCCTCCTGCACACCTCCTACTGGGATTGTGCCCGCAACCAAGGTACATGCCCTTGACCGGAACCGAACCTGGGACCTTTCAGTCCGCAGGCCGATGCTCTATCCACTGAGCCAAACCGGTTAGGGCACATTACCCTTTCTTATTCTTTGTAGCACTTAAACCAGTAAGTATTTGCTTATTTATCACCTATTTTTCTCTATTAGAATGTAAGGTCATTACTCTATCTCCAAACCACAAAGAATGCCTGGCACAAAGTAGCCGATCGGTAAATAGTGGTTAAATGAACGGAAGCAAGAGAGACTTGGGATACATTTTTGAAGGAGAAAGCTCAGACCTGCTGGGGAAGGAAGCAGAGCAAGGAGAGGGGAGCAACTGAGCACCGTACCAGCCCATCCTACTGTTTTGGGGGGAAAACATGACAGCAAAATAGACGGTGGTAACATTACACAGGTCCCTGACTTGACCCTCTAAAACCAAGCAGCTCCCACAGAGGCCCCGGGTTTCAGTGAAGTAAACCTCTGCCAACCACAGAGGAGAATTCTTCATACAAACAACGCACCTAAGGAGAGAGCGCGGGCCTTAAGCCCTTAAAGCAGCGGTTCTCAACCCTCCTAATGCCGCAACCCTTTAATACAGCTCCTCATGTTGTGGTGGCCCCCGACCATAAAATTATTTTCGTTGCTACTTCATAACTGTAATTTTGCTACTGTTATGAATCGTCATGTAAATATCTGATAGGCAGGGTGTATTTTCATTGTTACAAACTGAACATAATTAAAGCATAGTGATTAATCACAAAAACAATATGTAATTATATATGTGTTTTCCGATGGTCTTAGGCGACCCCTGTGAAAGGGCGTTCGACCCCCAAAGGGGTCGTGACCCACAGGTTGAGCACCGCTGCCTTAAGGTAATGGAAGGTCTGAACAAGCCTGTTCCCGCCAGGCTTCTCAGCTGTCAAATGAGTCAGTTCAACAAAACCCCGGGAGGCGCGCTGCCCTTTCAGGGCCTCCTGCCAAGCAGCCTCACCCCAGCAAGCGGGGGCGGAAGCGGCTTCCTCTGCTCCCCTCTACAGGACAGAGAGAAAACTGAGACTTAGAGCGGCTCCAAAGCGTCTTACAATCCCCAATGTAATGATTGATCCAGGAAAGAATCACTATTGGGTGCTAAAACCAGAGAAAAACAGGGCTTTTGGGAAATAAAGGGTATCATGTGGTCTCGAAAAAAAATAAAAATAAAAACAGCCCCCCCTACCCCCCAAAATAAAGCATTTCCATTTCTCTACGTTGTTCACATAACATTAAATACAGTTATGTCTGGGTGGTAGGATTAAGAGTGACTTTATTTTCTCCCTTGATTATCTATATTTTTAATTTCTCTATAATAAATATGTATTGTTTTAAAAGAAGAAGAAAAAAGTATCCCGTGGTCCCAAAGCATCACCCCACAGATTGCTTCTTATATAATGAAAAAAGGTCCCTTACAATCAGTAGGTCTGGCAGACATCCCTTAAACAAGGGCTCACACACGGCATCACCAACAATGGAGAAGCAGACATCACCTGCCTTCTGAGATGACAGTGGGAAGAAATAACATTTCCCATAGAGTGTTCTTGGCAAAAATGTTTAATCCAAACCTAATCATGAGAAAACAAGAAGACAATTCCCCAAAAAACAGGATGTTTTACAAGCCAAGTGTCCTAGGCTCTTCAAAAACGGTCAGTGTTTTCAAAGACAAGGGGGTGGAAAAGGCAGAGGGCCCTAGATTCAGGAAGCAGAGAGACATGCGATCCAAACACGAGGCATGAACCTTGAATTGGTCCTGGATTTAAGAGGCAACTATAAAGGCCATTTGGGAACAACTGAGACAATTTGCATGTGGGACACTCTGTGATAAATTTTTTGCTCAATGTACAATGTCTTGGGTGTGATAACAGGACGGTGATCATGTGAGAGAATGTCCTTATTAAGAGATACATAGATGCTAAAGGGGTTGGCGGTAATATCATGCTTTCTACAGAAAGTGCATGTAATTCAGACACACACATACATACACATACATATATGTAATAATGCAAATGGTAAACTATTACTAAAAATTATTTAAAGACTAGTCATAAAGGTGCCTATAAGATGTTGGTATTTTAATTTATTTTTGTTAATCCTCACCCAAGGGTATTTTTTCCATTGATTTTTCAGGAAGTGGAAGGGAGGGAGGGGAGAGAAAGAGAGAGAGAAAAACATCAACTGGCTGCCCCCCACAAGTGCCCCAACTGAGGCTGGGGATCCACCTGCAACCCAGGCACATGCCCTTGACCGGAAATCGAACTTATGGCCCTTCAGGGCTCGGGCTGACACTCTAGCTACTGAGTCACACCGGCCAGGGCAATGTTGGTAATGCTTTATTTCTTGATCTGGGTGGCTGTTTTACACAGCTGAGTTCATATTATAACAAATCATTGAGCAATACTTATGATTATATTTCCTGTAATGCTTTATTTCTTGATCTGGGTGGCTGTTTTACACAGCTGAGTTCATATTATAACAAATCATTGAGCAATACACTTATGATTTATATATTTCCTATGTAAGTTTAAAATAAAAAGAATGGTGTAGGCAGCAAGTGTTGCACAAGACCAGTCTGCTTAGTCGGTATCTATAATAATGAAAGTGTAATATGCTAATTAGACCAGATGACCTTCCGGACAACCTTCCGGAAGAAGCCGGACTGCGAGGGAAACCCGGTCCCAGGTGCCTGCCGGCGGCCGGAGGGAAGCCGGTGCCAGCAGCCGGGGGAAGGAAGGCCTACTTGTACACGAATTTCATGCATTGGGCCTCTAGTCTGTACATAGAAACAGACTAAAACGAAGACCTGCACATCACGGAAAGCATCCCCACCTGAGTTCATATTATAACAAATCATTGAGCAATACTTATGATTTATATATTTCCTATGGAAGTTTAAAATAAAAAGAATGATGTAGGCAGCAAGTGTTGCACAAGACCAGTCTACTGAGTCGGTATCTATAATAATAAAAGTGTAATATGCTAATTAGACCGGACGACCTTCCAGACCTCATTCCGGACAAAGTGAGACTGCGAGGGAAACCCGGGTCCCAGGTGCCTGCTGGCGGCCGGAGGGAAGCCTGGGTCCCGGAAGGAAGCTGGTGCCAGCAGCCGGGGGAAGGAAGGCCTACTCATGCATAAATTTCATGCATCGGGCCTCTAGTCTGTACATAGAAACAAACAGACCAAAACGAAGACCTGCACATAACGGAATGCATCCCCACCTCCCACTCCCCTCGAATTGTTCAGTAACCAGCTTCTTGCCCACTGCTGGTGCCTACACAGGCAGCCGGTGCACTCACCAGGTAACTTGGTTGACATTTATCATCAAAAAAGCCGATTGTCCTCCCTCAGGAGTCAGGCTCCTGGGAGCGTGGTCCATCCGGAGAGT